TTTTCTAAAAGACACCAAAAGTGTACGCAAAAAAGTCTTACCTTTAAAATATTTACAAAAAAATTCACACACTTTACACGTGCTTACTTGTTGCCGAACTATCAAACATGTATACCCTCTAGAAATACCAGGATAGTATCTCTATCTCGTGTCTATTTCGAAGCAGTCGCCATAGAAGACGACGTTAGGAAAAAGACAAGAATTTTGAATGTCAACTTTAATATTTTTTTCTGTTTAAACTAGGTACTTTGTAGAAAACTATTTTATTTTTATATACGAATAAAAGAACTTTCCATTGTTCAAAAATAATTTATTTTTTCAGAAGAAAGCTGCAAAGAAGAAGAATATAATAATTTAAATTAAAAAATCGCTTCTGGGGACAGTTAGGTCACAGGACATTTCACCTAGTTTTTCGGCCAAATATAGAAACATAAAGTAATTAAAAAAAAATTTGCTGGGGACAGCAAATGTACATTTAACGAAAATTTATATTTTTGAAGTTCAAAGAAAATTCTCTATTTAAATGTTTCATTAAAAAACAATGACAAATAAATTTACCGATGCTTTTCTGTTTTTGAATTTTTGTAAAAAATTACTGTTTTAAAACATGCAAGCTGTATTTTAATTTTTTTCCAATGAAGATTTTATTTTGGCTGTAAACAACATTTTTTTAGATTATGATTTACTAATTAAAAGTTAAAAAATCCAATTAAAAAATTGTGATATAGAGAAAGTTAAGCTGCATCTCTTAATAAAACAATTTGTTTCTTGAAATTCGAAATTCAATTATTTTTATAATCACATTAATTTAAACTATTTTTTAATTTGGTTAAAATCATGATACTACATATGTAGTATCATGGTTAAAATACTCGAGCAGAAAGCATATTTTTTCTTTTCTATTTGTGGACTATAATCCGTTTTGAATACTACGGAAGTGTTGACGACGTGCTTGAAAAATCATTTTTATCCGTCAGCTTTATGCGAAATAAATCGATGCCGGGAGGCAAAAAAAGTGTCGGTAATGTATTCATAAAGTAGGCTGAGCAATCGTAAAAAAATAAACGAGAAAATTTTATTCGACGAACATTTGATGGCCATTCGTTATTTTCGACATTCAAACTTATAAGAGTTAAGCAAATGTTTGGGATTGGTCCCAGTTTTACATTTGAAGTTTTAACCATTATTCAAGTTTTTATGTTATCTCAATGTTAACTAAAAAAATAGTTTATATTTAAAAACTAAAAACCCTGCTAAACATTTAAACATCTTTAGGAAAGGCATTACCTACTATTTACGATTTTGGAGCAAAAGTCATGAATACCAAATAGACAGTCAGTTTAATGTACGAAATGCAGCAAATTGTCGTTTATTTTCCGATAAAGTTAAAGGCAAAACGTTTAATTTAGTTTAACAAGTCATTTAATTACTTTCTTTTGATGATTTTCAACTCACTTTGACAGTAAAACGTCGAAATTAGATGGGATTAACTAACTAAAAAATCTGCTAAACGTACAGACAAAGTTTTTACTGTTTATATTTGAATGTAAATTACAGCTAAAGTAATTAAGACTAATTTAAAGTCTTTGTGAAGGATTTGTTTTAACTTTTGTCTTAACTATTTTTGTTAATAAAAAGCTATATTGATCCCGGCGAATTCGCCATTTTTGCAAATATTGGTTTTCACCAATTTTTGCCTCTAAATCAACTATAAAACCAAATAGTCTAATGGTTAAAGGTTTGGCCCATACGGTGGATGTAGAGTAGAAATTTTCGAAGTGAGCCCATAATTTTTGACGTTGTAGTGATAATTGAAAATAAATATGAAATCATTCGTTTATTTATGTTTTATTAAACAAAATTGAAGCATTTGATTTAAAAATTATTTTCTTGTAAACTATTTATAAAAAATTAATAAAAATTTGGGAGAATGGTAAAAAATAATTGCAGTTATTAATAAAATTTTCAAAAAGCTGGTATTATTTGTTTTGGCTACTTTTTTATTATTTTTATTAAAAAAATGCTAATTTGGCCCTGTTCTCCCTGAGAAAATTGAAAAAATTAAATAGATTTATTACTAAAAAATTCCAAAATTAACAATGATGAACACGTCAGAATAAAGATAAACCTTAAGATGTAAACTTATTTAACTTAACTTGGATTTTATTTTTTCCTGTAATTACATTTTTTACAAAAACTGTGCCATTCGAGAAAAGTCTACACAAAATATTTGTATCATCTATAGGTCATCAATGCTATTGTCTGGTAATTTTTATTGTTGTCACTTTTTCACAGACCTTCCAATACCGTCACAAGCCACTTATTCGTAAGAGGTCCAACAAAATTCCACTGAGGAGTAATCCTAAAATCTTTTTGATGTTTTAAAATATATTTGTAAAATTAAATTTATTTTTATACTGCGATGCAGCCTTATCCGAAAACCATTTTTTTAATATTTTTATCACCAAATTTACATATACATATTTCTGGTTGGTACAATAATTCCTGAAATAAAATTAAATTTTTTTATTATAGTTGGAATTACAAATTATGTCAATTTGTATCGACAAAATTGCAAAAATTTAAAAGAAAAAGGGTATAATCCAATATTATTATTTTTTATAACCTTAAAAAGTTTTTTATCAATAATTAATGCAAAAACATAAAATTCAATAAAGATCATTGGGGCACGTTTTGATAACAACAAAAAATACCCTCTATTGCTACGAACCTATATATAGATTTTCGTAGGGAGAACAGAGCCAAATTAGCATTTTTTTTATTAAAAAAAAAAGTAGCCAATCTGAATGAAAAAATAAATTGCATACAGTCTCTGTAAATATAATTTGTACTTATTAGATACAATAAATACACATTTTAGTAGTGATTAACGTGAAAAGTGTAAACATTTAAATTCAGAAAAAATCGTCAAACAAATATGTCGTCTAAATTTAAACAGCATTTAGCATTATTAAAAGCGTTGATTAAGAAAGTCTCCACTCAACGGTAAAATACCATTATATTATGTATTTTATATAATATTATGTTGCCATGAATTCGTAGGTATATTTTGTTGTTTAAAATGCAGTTGTCGGCGTTTTTTAGATAACTCAAACATAAAAATGGTTGATTTTAAGGTTATGTTTGTGCAAAAATTATTTTTTACTAATTTCTTAAAAATGTCCAAACTTAAATATAAATTATATTAGGTAAAGTTATCATTAGTTAATTCTTTGCAAAACATGAAAAGGCAACGATTTAGTTCTTGAATTTTATTTACAATTACAAACACAATAATTCACCATGGTCCCTTTGATAAAGTACACACACTAACGTAACTATATCACGGTGTCCCTGAATAACTTTTAATTAAAAGGTTCAGACGTATCCGATTTTTTTTCATATTTTGATAAAAAATCACTTACAAGACAATTTTTTTTCAGGATAAACTCAATTCAATTGGCATTTTTTTAGAAAAATCAATTTTTTTTAAAACGTTAATGATTTTTAATACGTTTTTTTAGATTTTTAATTAGTGAACTCCAAATAGTGACTAACAGCTTTTAATGTATTTATTACATAAAATGAGCAATTTTGTCTTAAAAAAAAAGAAAAAATGTCTTAAATATGTGGATAGATTCTGGAAAAAGTTCAAAGCATAGTAGATGTAGAACGATTACCAAAAGTTGTATGCAAAGGTTGTGAAATTTTATTATATAGTTAAAGCAGCTAAACAAGAAATTTATAGAAACACGTTAAATTTGCCTGATTTTTCTAATAGGAAATAATTGGGTATAATTTTATAAAAAGTGCTAAAAATAAACCCATTAAAAAAGAAAAAAAAGCGTGTGTTTTTCTTTTTTAATGGGTTTATTTTTAGCACTTTTTATAAAATTATACCCAATTATTTTCAATTAGAAAAATCAGGCAAATTTAACGTGTTTCTATAAATTTCTTGTTTAGCTGCTTTATATAATAAAATTTTACAACCTTTGCATACAACTTTTGGTAATCGCTCATCTACATCATATACTAAGTAGTAGTAGTATACTACTATAGTAGTAGTAGTAGCATAGTACTATGCTTTGAAGTTTTTCCAGAATCTATTCACATATTTTAGATTTTTTTTTTTTTAAGACAAAACAAACAAATTCTTTTTTATTAGCTTTATTGAACTATATACTATATCATGCAAATATAATTATTTATATCTAATTTATAAATAAATCTGCGACAAATTGAAAAAAAACGGTCAAATAACGCAACGGTATTTTCAATAACGATTTCGACATGTGACATGTGACAAGTGACATATGTCAATAGTTCACTAGTCTAATCAATTGAACATTTTATGTAACAAATACATTAAAAGCTGTTAGTAATTATTTGGAGTTCACTAATTAAAAATCTCAAAAAATTGATTAAAAATCTTTAATGTTTTTATAAAAATTGATTTTTCTAAAAAAGTGTCAAGCGAATTGAGTTTATCCTAAAAAAAATTGTCTTGTAAGTGATTTTTTATCAAAATATGAAAAAAAATCGGATACGTCTGAACCTTTCAATTAAAAGTTATTCAGTGACACCGTGATATAAGCATTTAAGCGTTGAGTTTTTTAATCAATGATATAAGGAATATTCAATCGAAATCGAGTACTAAAAAAGTTTTTTAATTTTTTCCTCGCAATGTAAAACACAAATAACGTGCGCGATTTAGCTGTGCAATTGAACAAAATTTGTCGAGTAAGACTTCTTCTGCCTTCCTCTCTTTTGTGAAAAAACTACCTATTTATTTAAAAATGATTTATACATTGTAAATAGAGGAAAAAAGTTAAAAAAAAAGTGGTAACTTTCTACTTCTACTTTCATGACAACGTCTTAATTAATATTAATATTAATTAATAATTAATATCTGTATTGAAACTTCCCAACCAAGCTCATTCAAATTTTCATTGATACGTTACACTTTTTCATCATTAACTAATATTTTGTTTTTTTTTTAGTGAAGGGGCAAAGTCACTAGGTTTTACAGTGCTGGTAGATATGAGGGGGGCCACATGGTCGACAGTAAAACCCATTTTAAAGGCCTTACATGAACATTTTCCACCTGGTGCCGTACACCAAGCGCTAATCGTGAAGCCTGACAATTTCTGGCAGAAACAGAGGACGTCGCTTGGTTCACACAAGTACAAATTTGAGGTAATTTTTTGATTTAATTTACATTTTTATGCGTGTATGATTCACTCTATTATAAAACAGAACGGGACCCAATATGGAACCCTGAGGAACACCGTTCCTAACTAGCTCTCTATGAGACATAATTTAAATGTTCTTGGGAAAAAACAGTGGCGGCTCGTGGGTGTATAGGAGGGTAAGGCTACATGAGGTTAATTTTGTCTTAACACGAATAAATTTCTGGGAGGTATTATTCTGCGACGAGTTGACCTTTTATAAAATGGCATTATAAAATGCATTAAATTTAATTAAATAAAAAAAAAATAAAACAAAAAAAAACAAAAAATAATAAAGCAATTTTATCCCAAAAAAACATAAATTCATTTTTTAAAACTTGTGTAGAACTGTAGAAAAAGTACACTTGTAATAATAATAATAATAATATTTATTCTTGGTTTAAATTATACAATTTTTACACACATCAGGTATATAAGAAAATAGTAATAGTAATTTTGACGAGCCGCCACTGGGAAAACCCGCAACAAGGGGATTTAAGCCTTTTAAAGCATTTTTATTTAATAAATCCCGTAATATAAATTCCTTTTCAAAGAAAGCACACTGAAAATATGACATACAAAGTATATAAACTCTGCTAATAAAAATGCAGTTGATGTCATAAAATTTCTGCGGCAACTTATCACAGTTGCTCGTGTTTATTTTTCGTTTTATTCAGTTTTAATTTTAATAGGAAGCCAAGCATATTTGCAAACAGAAGCCGAGAATCTCGTAAACTACGACTTAATAATGCTTGTTTTAGTAGCTATTTTGATAAAATGCTTTGTGTTTTGCTTTGTGTTTTTAGAGTAAATAGCAGAGCTCTTTAATATTTTAGTGAATGGTTATATAAATATCAATTTGAATTTATGTTTGTTGTTCTGTAAATAAGTTAAAACTTTTGGTGGAATTGCAAATATGTAATATTACTGTTTTATGCTTTTTATAAACAAAAAAAATAATTAAAAAGAAAATAAACAGTGTTTCCCGAAAATAGTTCTTTTACTCTAAATCACAGGATAAACAATGCAATTTTAATTAAAAACAACCAAAACAAATTTAAAAACGCCGAGTAAATATAGAATCTTTAGAATGTGAATAGTCTATTTTTAGTCATATTTAAGAATGTCAAAACATATTTTGAACAAAAACGTGAAAATATAATTTTATTAAACTAATATTTTAAAATGTTAAAAAACAAATTACAAGACCTATAAAAGAACGTAAAACCTATTCCAACCTCACTTTTTCTTAATTTAAAGCCCGATTAATTCAAATCACAGTGAATATTTAAATCAGCCAATTACTGACGCCTAAAAACGTTAATTATTCCAGTTGTTACGATTATATACGGAAAAACCCAAATAATAACATGCAATAGGCGTTGAAAAAATATTTAAGTAAAATTTTAAATTCATAAAATAGTATATTATGTATCAAGTTTGATAAACGCCATTTTATACACGAATTTAATTTAGGCATGAGCGAGCGAGTGTTTAAATTAATGAGTTTTTAGAAAAGTTTATAAACGAGGTGCATACTATACTTTTTCTACGACAAATACTTATTATCTTAAAATAATTTAAATAAAAAATTTGTATAGAGGGCCATCTATGAAAACATAGGGGAATCTGTGTGTCACCGTCAAATGTCGCATTTTTATATTTTATAAACACAGATTATAAAGGTTATAAATCGAAATGTATTTCTTGAAAATGGACAGTTTTTCACAGTGAAAGTAAAGAAAATGTTTTATGAGGACTTTACAGTGGAGTCCAATTAAAAGGTCAGTACAATGTTTATATAAACTTTTTAAATATTGGCGTCAAGAAACTATTTAATACTTTTGTATTTATGTATTAAGATAATAAAATAATTTTCACATTTAGTATTATTGTACAAGAAAGGCACTTTTTTTAACGATTGTATGACATTTGACAACTGTCAACGAACTTAAAACTAACTTCAGCTCGTGACTAAAAACCTATTGCTAACTCCAACCCGTGACTAAAGCGCCATAAAGCAACAACTTGTCAATGTGTATTTAAAAGGTCACTTAGTGTCATGGGAACATGTACGATAAAGGGCGTTTTAAAGGTGGAAGTAGAAAAACATATTTAATATTTTATCTACTCCTACATGGATAAGCTGTGACTTTATGGAGTTTTAATCACAGGCTGAAATTGACTTTATTATAAATTGCGAAAAAGTAAGGTTAAATTCGTCAAATGTCAAATATTTATGAATTAAAATTTTCTTTAAATTCTTGTTTCTGTTTGTCGTAGATAAAGTATAGTATGCAACTCGTTTTATTAACGTTTATAGACACTCGTTTTTATTAAACACTCGCTCGCAAGCTTCGCTCGTGCCTAATAAAACTCGTAACTAAAATGGCGTTTATAAAACTTGATACATAATATACTACTATCTACTCCCCTATTGATAAGCTGTGACTTTATTGCATTTTAGTCACGGGCTAAAGTTAACAACATTGGCTTTTGGGCTGGAGTTAGCTTGGTGAGGTTAAATTCGTTGACATTTGTCAGATGTCAAATGTGGCTTTCTGGCTGTAGTAAGCTTTAAAGCCAATTTTATTTGTCGAACATTTGACATCTGTCAAATGTCAAAGGATTTAACCTCACTTTTTCCCAATTTATAATAATTATTATAAATTGGGAAAAAGTGAAGTTAAATCCTTTGACATTTGACAGATGTCAAATGTTCGACAAATAAAATTGGCTTTAAATTTTCCTTTGGGTCGTCGTAGATAAAGTATTGCATGCAACTCGTTTGTATATTGTAGATAAATTATGGTATGCATTACGTTTCATAAACTTCTTAAAATAAAAAGTCAAACGTCAAATATCAATGAAAAACTAAAAAATAAATACAAATGTTAAAAAAGATTGTATGTTAAAAAACTGCCAATTAAAAACAACTTTTAAGACATATTTAATAAATATGAGAATGTTAAATTTATACATATTTAAGAATGTCAAATGTCAAAAATTTCAAGACCTATAAAACTATTTTGAAAATGCCTAAAGGATATTGTCAAACTTACTTGAGAATATATTAAAGTATTTTAAAAAAACAACACCTTTTAAGATGTGAAATAGTATATTATGTATCAAGTTTGATTTAAGTCATGAATTTTAGGCACGAGCGAGTGTTTAATTAAATAGGTCTCTAGAAAGGTTTATAAACGAGTTTCATACCATAGTTTTTTTACGAAAAATACTTATTATTATCTAAACATTATTCACACAAGCCGAATATGCAATTTCAAATGTGTTTCAGACTATAATTTTTCTACGTTTTCAAAAAATACCAAAATGTTTTCATTATGGGAAAGTGAGGTTGGGTCTAAAAGTTGTCGGATAATAAACACATAGATGTCGCCACCATTGTTTATTCTGTGTTAAGCGTTAAAAATTTTATTTAAGAATGAAAAACTAAAAAAATAAAGATTTTGAGAATTGCAAAACCATATTTAGAAAACGTATAAGTGACAAAAGAAAATTTTAAATAAAATTGTTATTGTGAGATACCATTTCAGCGTATATTTTAATTTTGGATTTTAATTTTAAATTCCCACTCTATCTAATAACAATTCTAAAAGTTTTATGTACTTTTTTAGACAAATATGATAAGCATAGAAGCCCTATCGAAAATAATCGACAGCACCCAGCTAACCACCGATCTGGACGGCACGCTAACCTACGACCACGCCATCTGGTTGGAGACCCGACTTGCCGTGGAGGAATTCGCGTGGCAAGCCGCAGACCTGATGGACCGTCTCGACGACTTGCAAGAAGATTTGGCCAGGAACGATATCGCTGACGACGTGAGCGGGGCCAAGCACAAAATCGATCTACACAACGAGATGAAGAAGAAGATCGTGAAGGTGCCAGTCGAAGAAATCAATTTGCAAGGTAAGAAACACGTTTTTGTTTTGTCCTTTTTGCATTTGTTTGTCTAATATTGCCTAAAGTAATTTTACCTTTTATGAACTGAGGCCTGTCAGAGCAAAGTCAACAACCTCCCATCAGACTAAAACTGAGTAAATTAAGATAATTGATTTTGGGATTTTAAATTCTAGATTTGTATTTTTTTTATATATTTTTTGAAATATTGTTGTTGTTAGTCAAGTAGCCAACTACAAGGTCTCCAGGATGCATAGTAGGTGAAATCTATAATTATAAATTGGAGATTGCTGACTTTGATATGAATTGCTGGAGATTGCTCATTTTGTTGTAAACGTTTAAGGAGATTTAGAAAAATAAACAAAAAAATAATTGTATTTTTATTCCTTTAATGGTTATAAAATTTAACTACACAATCAATGTGGGAAAATTCTAAACTGGACCACATAAATCTGGAGTTTCTTCTAAATCTGGGACCAGGTTGCCTCGTGCAAAAAAGTTTTTATAGTACAACAACTCGTTATCTTCTTCCCACTTTGCCCCGTAATGTTTTACTTGCAATGTTTTGACATTATCAGCCTTTTCTTGCTTTACCTTTTCGTCTTATTATGGTATAATAACACAAAATACACAAGATAACTTTTTTTATAATTCTTAAAACAATAAAACGTATTTTAAATATATTTTTAAGTGCAATTTACTGCAATAGAACTTAACAGTATGTCCCAGTAAAAAAAAACAGAAAATTAAATCTCTAAAATACGTTATAACATCAAATGTTAGGATATCAGGTGACACAAATTACTACTTTCTAATGGTGGAATTGGAGATTGTATACTTTGCTGCAAATCTATCAGTGGAGATTGTCGACTTTGCACTAAATGTCATTTTTAAAATAGGATTTTAGGCAGGATTTAGTTCCTTTTACAGCACATAAACTTTATCATCTAGATAATTAGTTGAAGTACAGTCTCCGCCAAAAATCTAATTTTTGACCAAAAGTGGAGATTGTCGGTTTTGCTATGACAGGCCTCATTTTTTCTGTTAAAAATTCTAAAATATAATGCAAACTATATAAATTGTCTAAAGTGTTTAAAATATCACCATATTAAAAATGCTCTACCAGATTTGTTCTGTCGAGTTGGAAACTTGTTTTTTCCATATAAATCCTAATCTTATTGGACAAAATCGAAATCTCTTGAACTTTAATCGTTCGTCCTTCGCTTTCAATTGTTTCTGCCCTTGTGCCCACCCTTTTTCTTAACTCCGGAAACTTTTAACGGACTAAACTTTTAGTTCTAACTTTTTAATATTTTTTTATTTCTGTCTTGTTCGATAGCGATTGACTTTTGAGTTTCTCTTTAAGAACGATTTGGAGAACTTTTGAGGAGAACAATTATTGAAAATTAGTAAGTAAACTAATGTACGTGCTTTAAAAGTTACTTCTTTGGTGTAACTAAAAAAATATTTCCCATCCAAATAATTTGTCAGTAGGAAAAACGATAAAATTAGGAAAGATAATAAAATTAATAAAGGGTTGATTAAAATTTTGGCAAATCTAAGAACAAAAACAATATTTGTAAGATTTTAAAATTTTTGAAAATTTTAATAATTATGAAATTTTTTTAATTGTGAACTGGGCAGAAAAACTAAAAAAAAACCGATTCCGGTTAGATTTTTAATTAATTTAACGAAAACACTATTTGGATGACTGAAAATTTTGAACATGACAAGAATTTTGAAAATTTCGTAAATTTTGAATAATTTTTAAATTTAAAGTTTTGATTAAAACCAAAAACAAAATTTTGATGATTTTGAATTTTTTTTAATTATAATTATATATTATACTACAATTTTAAAAATTCCAAAAATGTTGTTAATTTAAATAAAGTATTGAATAAAAACAAAAACCAAATTCCAAGAATTTTAAAAATTCTGAAAATTTTGTAAATTGGAATAAAGTTTTGATCGAAAACAAAAACAAAATTCCAAGAATTTTAAAAAATTTGAAATTTTTTAAAATTTTGTGAATTGTAAACTGGGCAAAAACCAAAACAATATTTGAATGACTAGAAATTTTGAACATAATTATAATTATATATTATTTTAAAAATTCCAAAAACGTTGTTAATTTAAAATAAAGTATTGATTAAAAACAAAATTCCAAGAATTTAAAAAATTTTGTGAATTGTAAACTGGGCAAAAACCAAAACTATATTTGAATGATTTTAAAATTTTTTAAAATTCTGAAAATTTAAAAAAAATTTTAATTGTGAACTGGGCAGAAAAACTAAAAAAAAAACGATTCGGGTTGAATTTTTTATTAATTTAGTAAACTATTTGGATGAATGAAAATTTTGGAAGTTTTGAACATGACAAGAATTTTAAAAATTTTGTAAATTTTGAATATTTTGTTAATTTAAATAAAGTTTTGATTAAACAAAATTTGGATAATTTTGAAAATTTTGGTAATAACCCACTAGAATTTTAAAAAGTCTGAAAATTTAAATAAACAAACAAAAAGAATTTTAAAATTCTGAAAATTTTGTAAATTTAAATTAATTTAATTAAGTTTTGATCATAAACAAAAACAAAATTCCAAGAATTTTAATAATTCTGAAAATTTTGTAAATTGTGAAAATTGTAAACTGGGCAAAAACCAAAACAATATTTGAATGACTGGAAATTTTGAACATTTCAAGAATTTTGAAAATTTCGAAAATTTTGAATATTTTGTTAATTTAAATAAAGTTTTGATTAAACAAAATTTGGATAATTTTGAAAATTTTGGTAATAACCCACTAGAATTTTAAAAAGTCTGAAAATTTAAATAAACAAACAAAAAGAATTTTAAAATTCTGAAAATTTTGTAAATTTAAATTAATTTAATTAAGTTTTGATCATAAACAAAAACAAAATTCCAAGAATTTTAAAAATTCTAAAAAAGTTTTATAAAAAACGGTGCGTGTACTTATTTACGCATGGTTTTTCAAACAATAAAATAATCAAAGAAATGTTTTAAATAAAATTAATATTGGTTAGATTAAAAACGAAAACAATATTTGAATGATTTTGAACTTTTGTAAATTTTGAAAAATCCAAGAATTTTGTAAATTCTGAAAATTTTAAATATTTTGTTAATTTAAATAATGTTTTGAGTAAAAACGAAAAAAAAATTGATGATTGTATAAAATTTGAGAATTTAAATAAATTCCAAGAAAATTCTGAAAGTTTGTAAATTTTGAATATTTGTAAATTATAAACTGGGTAGAAAAATTATAAAAAACGCTGTGTAACTAAAAAAAATTATTTTGCATGCAAAAGTAAACGATAAACCGATCAAATAAACTTATTAAATAAAATTAATTTAGGTTAGATTTAAAACGAAACAATATTTTTTTTTGGTATTTTGAAAATTCTGAAAATTTTGTAAATTTAGATGAAGTTTTGATTAAAAGCGAAAACAAAATTTTGATAATTTTAGAAATTTAAAAAATCACAACAATTTTGACATTTTTGGAAATTTTTTTCCATTTTTACTTACCCAATCGTTTTCTACTCGTCAAACCCTTTCTTTGATACCCATGTCAAGAAGGTGGTAAAGTAATAGGCAATCCATCTTACAGCACAGCCACTAATTTCTTACGCCATGAACATGCAACTTCCGTTGTATACTAAAATTTAAATTACTCTTAAGTTTAAAAAAATTGCATTACCAAGTATCAAATTTTTATGTTTTATGAAACTAATTTATTGTTTATCCTTTAGGTCAGCGTCTTTTGCAAAAAGTGTGCGGGCACGACACCGGCCAGGGGGGCGGCGGGGGGAACCGGGAGCAGGATTCTTCGAGCGGAATGGGACCTGACGCCTGCGATATAAAAAGTTTGGTGCTGCAGAACCTAGAGGCGCTGCACGCGCAGCAGCAGCAATTGCTGCAGGGTTGGCACCACAAAAAAGTCAAACTGGACCAGTGTTTTCAGTTGAGGTTGTTTGAACAGGACTGTGAAAAGGTAAATAATATTAAAACTAAAACCCTTTTAATGGACCAGGGTCGATAATTTTTGAAACCAAAAAAAATAACAGTAGGATGAAACCCATTGGAAAAGGAGAAGAATATAATAAAAATGAAAGGAAAAATAAATTACGGGCGATCTGACTTCGGGAAGTGGGAGGGGTAATTACAATTTTTTTACATATCCTCAAAATTTATGTGAAAAATTCAAAAAATCTTTTTAAAAAAAAAATTTTTTTCCACGAAATTTGGTGAAAACTTACCTTTTTATGTCCCAAATACACTGTAATTTATTTGATTTGAAATATTTATTATTTCGCCTTATTTTGACTTAATATCAAAAAAGCACCCTAAATTTCAATCGAAAATTCTCGCGTCAAAATATCAGCTTTTTTCAAAAAGTCGGTGTGCATTTTGTTTGTTGAAATCTCTACTTTCTGATGGTGTAAAAAAAATATACATTACTATGGTAAATGTTCTCAGAAAATGCAAAAAATATTATAATGAATAACGAAAAAAACTCGAATTCGAAAATTTATTTTAATCATTATGTACAAATTCATCAAAAAAATGTGATTGTTGCAATTTTTTTTAGTTAAAAAGTTTATTTATTAAATTCTAATTACATTTATGTCAGAAAATCTCATAAAATATAAAAATACATGTAAATCATACTATTGAATTTAGATACTTCATTCTGATTACGTTATTCATTATAATATTTTTTGTATTTTCTGAGAACATTTATCATAGTAATGTATATTTTTTTTACACCATCAGAAAGTAGAGAGTTCATCGAACAAAAAGCACACCGACTTTTTGAAAAAAGCTGATATTTTGACGCGAGAATTTTCGATTGAAAATTAGGGTGCTTTTTTGATATTAAGTCAAAATAAGGCGAAATAATAAATATTTCAAATCAAATAAATTACAGTGTATTTGGGACATAAAAAGGTAAGTTTTCACCAAATTTTGTGGAAAAAAATTTTTTTTTGAAAAAGATAAAAATAAAAAACCAAAAACTTGGTTTTTTGAATTTTTCACATAAATTTTGAGGTTATGTGAAAAAATTGTAAATACAAAAGTTGTAGATCCTTTTATTACCTACAACTTTGCCATTTAACTTTTTTCCATAGGACTTGTAGTTTTGCCGGAAATCGAGATAAACCATTTTTTACCCTTAAAACCCCCCCTCCCACTTCCCGAACTCAGATCGCCCGTAATTTATTTTTCCTTTAATTTTTATTATATTCCCCTCCTTTTCCAATGGGTTTCATCCTACTGTTATTTTTTTTCTCTTTTTACCATTTTTAAAGGCTTCTGCACTGGTCTATAAAGACAATATCCTTAATAAATAATTGTGTAAATTTTTTTTAGATGTTTGACTGGATCTGCCATAACCGCGACGTGTTTCTCCTGAACTACGTCGAGATAGGAAACACCTACCAACTAGCCAAGCAGTTCCAAGAGGAACACCAACGTTTCACTGTGAATTGTACAAACGTTTACGTGAACATCAACCGGATACTTTCTGTGGCTTCCCGCCTAATCGAAGGCGGCCATTACGCCGCCCCCCACATCCGCTCGTTTGCCAGGTATGTCAGTTTTTGTTAGGAATGTCCAAAAAATTTCAAAATAATAATTAGAAATGGCAAGCTTGCTATTTTGTTTATAATATTGAAAAACCATTTTAGAATGTCAGGATATGTATTTATTTTTTTATTTAAAAGGAATAAATTATAATTTTATAAAAATACATTGAACATTTAAACATGAATTTTTAAATGTTAAGACTTTACTTTAAGAATGTTAAAAAGCGTTTTAGAATGTCAAGATATTAATTTTAATTTAATCATAATTGTAGAAAATGTTAAAAACAAAATTAAAAATGTCAGAAACAAAATAATTTATTTTTATATTAAATATGGATGATAATTTGATTTTTTTCTTTATAAATGTGTAGGTATTATATAATTATAATAATTATATAGTTAACTAATTAACAATTTCCAATAAAAAAAAACAACATGATTGTTATTATTTAAACGATTAAATAGGTAACAGTGAAAATATTTTCTAAAGAAAATAGCTTCTTAAAGCGAAAAAATTCGAATGAGTCATTTTTTTAATTTTCAGTAATTTTATCAATAACATAAGTTTTTAACTGACCCAAAAAAAAAATCTAAAGCGGAAAAAAACAAGAATTTCGTTTTGACTTTAGCCAAAAATGTTAGGAGACACCCAAAACAATATTTTTGATATACAAAAAAAATAGTCGATTTTTTTGGCCCAGTCTAATAGTAGGTAACTAGAAATATTATTGATTTATATTTTAAATCTTTTAAAATTTAAAAGATTTAAAATATAAATCAATAATATTTCTAGTTACCTACTATTAGACTGGGCCAAAAAAATCGACTATTTTTTTTGTATATCAAAAATATTGTTTTGGGTGTCTCCTAACATTTTTGGCTAAAGTCAAAACGAAATTCTTGTTTTTTTCCGCTTTAGATTTTTTTTTGGGTCAGTTAAAAACTTATGTTATTGATAAAATTACTGAAAATTAAAAAAATGACTAATTCGAATTTTTTAGCTTTAATAAGCTATTTTCTTTAGAAAATATTTTCACTGTTACCTATTTAATCGTTTAAATAATAACAATCATGTTGTTTTTTTTTATTGGAAATTGTTAATTAGTTAACTATATAATTATTATAATTATATAATTATATAATACCTACACATTTATAAAGAAAAAAATCAAATTATCATCCATAAAAAAAGATCTACAGAGGAAAAAACAAGAATTTCTTTTTGACTTCAACCTTAACCTTGAATAACTTTTGATTGAGTAAATTTAGCCAAAAATGTTAAGAGACATTCGGTTTTTTCTGGGTACTGATATTTACATGAATTACAAAATTCCAAAGTTAAAAGATCAAAATGTAAAACTACCAATTTTTAAGGCATGATTTTAAGGAAACGGTTCATCTGATAATTTCATTATAACCTTTTTGTAGAGCATTGAATTTTCTTAAAAAAATATATCTGAGTCAATTTTGTTAAACTCGCTCAGGAAAAAAAATTAAAATTGCGATGATAGACCTCTTAACATTAATATTATGGACTTAAACTTTCACAATAATTTTTTTCTCCCCAAACCATATTTTCGATATATATACTTAAAAAAAAAATTGATTTTTTTGGCCGTCTAACCTACTATATGTTTATTATATTTTAATAATTTTTTTTTTAAATTTTTATGATATTCTTTATTAAAATATGGCTTTCTATAAATTCATTTTTTATTATTATTTTATTTAAATAAATAATTAATATTTTACCCAATTTTATTTATTCATAATTTTTAATACTTTTTGTTGCAGTTGATATTCTTTTTATTATTTGAAAATGGGAAAATCATAATTATAATTATAGAAACGATAAGCTTATTATTTTGTTTATAATGTTAAAAATAGTACATTACAAACCAGGCGGAGAAAGCTCATATTATATTTTGTTTTCAAGCATTTAATTAGAACATGTCTTCAAGATTTGACATATTATTTTTAGTTTGGGTTCAAGTTTAACACATGATTTTTAGGTTATGTTTAAGTTGAACTTTAGAACTGTTTAACGGACATGACATTTTAGGTCCATTTTTGTATTGAGGTTTATAATAATTTAACTTTCAAACTAGTATTAATATGAACCCCAGAGCCAAACTGTAAACAATTTATGCTCCATATCAAAGAGTCACACCTTAATATTTGAATACAAAGAATTAAGTTTATCTGTCAGTTTAACGCTAATTTATTTATTTTTTTCTGAAAATATTACAAAATATTTATATTTTGTGTATAAAGGTCTTAATTTAAAACTCAAAAATGCATATATTGTATTTTTTAAATAAAAAGACGAAATTGAAGTTAAATTGACATATAGATAACCTTCATTATTTGTACAGAATTATGAGCACTTTTAAAAATGCTCATATATGCTTTTAAATACTCGAAAAGTACTCGAGCGCTTTAAAAATTTCCCGTCAAAAGTTAAAATCAAGATTATAACATAACCTGGTTTGTGCTTAAAAAAGTTTGTCTAGTTTTATATTTTCTACAAAAATGTATCTTTTAAAAAAAATACATAAATCATTTAAAAATTACGAATATTTTGAAAAAAAAAGTTGTTGAATGTCCAAAAAATTTTAAAAATCCTTAAAATATATTTTTACTATACCCCATTTTTATTTATTCTCATAGCCATTAAAATGCAAGATTTCTTTAAATAAGAAAGTTTTTTTTATTGTTTTTAACCCTTTTGTTATTTGCAAGGTAAGGAACACGTTTTTGTTTTATTCTTTTCCCATTTGTTTGTCTAATATTTCGTAAAGTAATTTTACCTGCATTTTTTCTGTGGAATATTCTAAAATTTAATGCTGTGGTAAACTATATAAATTGTCCAAAGTCGTTTTAAAAATATCACCATATTAAAAATGATCTTTCAAATCTGTTCTGTTGAATTGGTTAAAATTTGGTTTTTTCCATATAAATCCTAATCTTATTGAATAAAATCGAAATCTCTTCAACTTTAATCGTTCGTCCTTCGCTTTCAATTGTTTCTGCCCTTGTGCCCACCCTTTTTCTTAATTCCGGAAACTTTTAACGGACTAAACTTTTAGTTCTAACTTTTTAATATTTTTTTATTTCTGTCTTGTTCGATAACGATTGACTTTTAAGTTTCTCTTTAAAAACGATTTGAAGAACTTTTGAGCAGAACAATTATAAAAAAACAGTAAGTGTATGTGCTTTAGAAGTAACTAAAAAAATATTTAACATTCAAATAATTTATGTGAGTAGGAGAAATTATAAAATTGGGAAAGATATTAAATAAAATAATAAAGGTTTGATAAAAAACGAAAATATTGTTGTTTGGATGATTTGGAATTTTTATTTTTAAACAACAAAATGAATTGAATGATTTTAAAAATTTTGAAATTTCGAGAAATTTCCAAAATTGAAGAATTTCAAAAATTCTAAAAAATTTAAAAATTCTGCAAATTTTGTAAATTTTGAATATTTTTTAGTTGACTGAGCATAAAAATTATAATAATCCGTTTTAGATTAAAAACGAAAACATAATTTTGATTATTTTGAAAATTGTGTAAATTGCAAAATGGCCAAAAAATTATAAAAAACGGTGCGTTTCATTGGTGTAACTTTAAAAAAATGATCAAAGAAACGTATTAAATAAAATTAATTAAGGATAGATTAAAAACGAAAACAATATGATTTTGAACTTTTGGAAATTTTGAAAAATCCAAGAATTTTGAAAATTATAAAAATGTAATTTCCAAGAGATGTTAAAAATTCTTTAAACATATTTTTATCATACCCCATTTTTATTTATTATCATAGCCAACAAAATGCAAGTTTTTAAAAATAAGAAATTTGTTTTATAGGTACCCTTAATATTTTTTTTTATTTTAGCCGTCTGGATCGGACTTGGAAGGACTTTGCTGCCGGTTTGGACGAACGGACGGCCGTTTTGGCCTTGTCGGTTATTTTTCATCATAAAGCCGAGCAGTACGTTGATAATGTTCCGGCTTGGAAGAGCGCGTGCGAGAACGGAAGCATTCCGTCCGAAATAATGCTGCTGGAAAATTCCATTCATCAGCATCAGAATTTGTATGAGAGCATGTGCCAGGCCTATACGGAGGTAAATTATTTTTTTATATTTTTGAAAATGCGTCGTTATATGCCAATTTAAAACAGACTTCCTATTTGAATAAGTTTACTACAAAAATCATATATGATTTTTGTAGTAAACTTATTCAAATAGGAAGTCTGTTTTAAATTGGCATATCAACATGTTGAATTGGTGACCTTTTTAGATAGAGGGCGCCATAAGCCTACTAAATCAATAAGAAAACATATTTTAACAAATTTCTGTAATTTTTGTCCTAAAACGTTTTCATTTAAAAAAAATTAAGTAGGTACTTTTTTTCAATTTTAATTTTAATTTAACTTCTTGCCTCCTTTGGACTTTTTTAATTTTTTTACTTTGTTTTCTTCTATTTCTCTTTTGTTAATTGATTTTGACTTTTTGAATTATTTTTATTTTTTATCCAACTTTTTTTTTTAAATAATTTTAACAGTTACTTATGACTTTTTTATTTTTAGTTTGAATATTTTGACTATTTGACTGTTTGAATTGTTTTACCTTTTTTTACTTATTTTGATTTTTGACTTTTTACTTCGTTTGTCTTTTTTAAATCCTTTTTACTTCTTTAAGTTTTTCTGACTTATTTATCTGTTTTTTACAAAAAAAGGATTTATTTAATATTAAAAACCAATTTATTTATCTTGTCCTGCAATCTCGTCACAAACAAATACTAATTGTTTAAAACGTTCATCTTTTCATTTAAAAAATATATATGTACTTCTTTTCAACTTTGATTTTTATTCAACTTTTTGCCTCCGTTGGACTTTTTTGACTTTTTAATTTTTTTTTACTTTGTTTTCTTCTATTTGTCTTTTGTTAATTGTTTTTGACTTTTTGAATTATTTTTATTCTTTGTCCAACTTTTATTTTTTTGTTTTTTTAATAATTTTTTGACTTTTATTTTTAATTCTTAACTTTTTGACTTGTTTTTGATTTTCCGTTAGACTTTTTTTACTTCTTTTTGTCTTTTTTTACCTCCTGAATTTTTTTTAATCCTTTTTACTTCCTAAGTTTTTCTTAATATTAAAAACAAATTCATTTATCTTATCTTCCAATTTGGTCACAAACAAATATGTCCATTATAAAAGCTGATTTTTTATATTCTGAAAGTAATTTTATCACGATTGCGTATTCAGGGAGCCACAGAAGATACTTATAGAAAAATTAAATTTTAAAACAGTTTTTTTGCTCCTGAATAATCTAATCAGAGGGACATATTTTAAAATTTAAAAAACATATTTAATGTAAAAAGAATTAGAAATGTCAAGCTTCTTGCTATTTTGTTTATAATGTTAAAAACCCATTTTAGAATGTCAGCATATTAATTTATTTTTTTATTTAAAAGGAAAAAATTATTGTTTTATAAAAATACATTAAACTACAAAAAATTTAAGAATTTTAAAAAGCGTTTTAGAATGTCAAGATATTAATTTTAATTTAATCATAATAATGAACTTTAAAATTGTACAAAATGTTAAAAACAAAATTAAAAATGTCAGAAACAAAATTATTATTATTAAAAAAATTATAAAAAAAATTATTATGTAATTTATTTTTATATTTGAATGATTTAAAATATAAGTTAATAATAAATCTAGGTACTATATTTTTATTTTATTTTAATTAATTAAATATTGTTATAATAGAATATAGTATAAAATTATTACACACTTGAAATAAAAACAATTTATGCTCCATATCAAAAAGTAGCACATTGACATTTAAATACAAATAATTCAGTTTATCTTTCTGAAAATATTACAATGTATGTATATTTTGTGTATAAAGGTCTTAATTTAAAACACAAAAATACATATGGATATTGTATTATTGAATAAAATACAAAATAAGCGGTAAACTGAAAGATAGATCACCTTAATTATTTGTAAAGAAGGATAAGCCTTTTTAAAAATGCTTATATATGCTTTTAAATGCTCAAGAAGCACTGAAGCATTTTAAAAATTTCCCGCTATATCTTAAAATCGGGATTTTAACATAACCTGGTTATTTTAAAATCTTAAAAAAACATAAATCATTTAAAAATTACAAATGTTTAAAAAAAATAATTAAATTTACAAATTTTAAGAAAAATTAAGAATATTCAAATTATATATGTTTTTTTTTTGAAATATGTACATAAAATGGTAAAGATTTTAAGAAATTTAAAAACAAATTTGGAAATGTTTAAATCTTTTTAGAATGCAAAATATTAATTTTAATTTAATTAAATGAAATTCTTTAGTTTGATGTCAAAATCATAATAATAAACGTTTAACTTGTTAAAAATTTTAAAAACAAAATATAGAATGTCAAAAGCAAAATACGTATATGTTTTTTATATTTTAAAGATTTAAATAATATGATAATAATATTTTTGTTTACTATATTTATTTTATTTTAATTTAATATTCTTTTGAAATATTTGTATAAATTTTAATACATATATTTTTTTATTATTATTTTAATGATATTTCAACTATTTCATTTATATTTACAATACCTTCTATGGCATTTTTTTTCATTTTAAAGGATTTCCAATACTTATATATTTGTATTTTACATTTATTATTGTTTTTTACAATGAAAACATAATTTATTATATTGCTTGCGAATTTTGTATATTTTTTTTCCAAACAGGTTTATAATTCCTATCAATCTTTGTTAAATGGATTGGATGTGATGTTACAAGTGTGCCATAATGTACCGACCGCCATGGGAAACGACAAGGATATTAAAAAAATTAATGTACGAATCTCACAATTTAAACAAAAAATACATTACATAACAGGTTCCATGCAGTTTAGCTTCTACATACTTGGCTGGTCGATGGTGTAAACTACTACTTCTACTATTTTAATATATAGTTAATATTTCTGTTTCTTTATTAATATCCACATCTACAGGGCGTTTAAAACTCCCCTGCCCAACAAAATGATACGTTTGATGTTTTTGCTTGGCACGGAAGTTTCTCCTTGTATACATTGTATTTACGTAATAAGTTTTAAGTAGCTTTAATTATTTTACTAATAATTGGTGTTGGTTGGTGACAGGTTCATAGTACAAGTAAGAAACTCCTCTATCAGTTAGATCACTTGGTGCAGGTCTGCAATCAGCCTGGGACTGACAAAAAACATGTAAATATCTTTTTTTCTTCTTATATTTTCTTGTATTTTGTGGTAGTAGGTGGTAATATGGAAAATATAAGCGTAGAGCGGCCATATTTTGCACTTTTTGCCAAATTAGCGCTAAAATAAATTTAAATGTATATTACACGCGAAAAGTATTCGAGATTTTCGTATGGTTAAGTATGAAAAATTTGGAATGAATCAGTTGGAAAAAACACAAAAAAAACTGTAGTGCCAATTTATTTGACTCTTTTTTTTAATTTTGGAAAGTTGTGAAATAGTTGATATCTACTTAAAAATGCTTTTTTTAATTTGATAAATAAATAAACGTATGCTTTATTACAAGTTAAAATATTATTCAAAACTAAAAACAATATATTAGTAAATAACTAACAATATAAATTGTTACTTTGCTGTTATAATAGAAAAATTAAAGTTTAAAACTATTATATTTTTGTGTTTCTTAAGTTGGCAGCACAAAATTTAAAATGACAATATTAAAAAGGGCTAAAAAATTGTTGTTTAAGATTTACATAAAAAATATTTTGTGTTGTATTTTTGCTTCTTAATAAAAGTTTGAAATACCATAAGGTTTTGTTATATATATTTTGTATTATTTTTAGTTTTAATACATTCTGAAGAAGCTACTGTGTAGCGACACAGCTGTCAAAATTTAATAAATTTCGTGAAACTTTACAAAAAAATTGTTTTTATATCTACATAGATAAAAAATATACTCTAATAATCAATTTTTAAGCCACCAACAAAGAATTTAAAAAAAAAATATGGAAAAAAACACAAATTTTGCTTATAACTGCGGGTCAAAATTAACGCATAACAAGTAAAAAAATCTAACTCAAAACGCCTTTTAAATAATGAGTTAAAGTAAATTATTATTTTTATCCAAAATTTTATAAAGATTGGTAAATTACCAATCTTTATAAAATTTTGGATAAAAATACTTTAACTTATATCTCAGTTTACGTGTTCAAGGGTTTTTCGAGAATAATAATAATAATAAAAAACGCTCGAAAAATTTTTTATAAAGAAATATTTTTTGAAGTAAATAAAAAATATCCTATGTAAGACGAATTTTTATTAGTAAACCCTGAAAATGTTGTACAAATCAAACGAACAAAATAATCAAAAAGGGGTAATTTTTACCGACTTTGAAGCGCTGTATCTTTGTTACTGTTCGTTTGATTTGTACAAAATTTTTTTAGGGTATACTAACATAATTACGATCTTTAACAACGTATTTTTAATTTACTTAAAAAAAAATTCTCTAAAAGTTACTTTTAGAACGTTTTTTTTATTATTTAATTAAAGGGCTTTAAAAATATTTTTTTTTAAAACCCTTGAACACGTAAACTGAGATATTAGTTGAAGTATTTTTATATAAAATTTTATAAAGATTGGTAAAGGCGTTTTAGAGTTAGAATTTTTTTACTTATTATGCGTTAATTTTGACGGGCAGTGTATTATTTTCAAAATTCGTTTCCAAAATTAAAAAACACAATAAAATGTTAACAGCTTAAAATTTATTTTTATTGAAATCTCATTGGTGAGCTCGTGAGATACAAAAATGGCGTTTTAAAACAAATGTAACTTAAAAAAAATGTTTTTGGAATCTGCTTGTAAACAAATCTAAAATCATAACATAGTACCTATAGGTAATTTCAATTTTATCGTAAACATATTTTTTATCGTCATAAAAAGCGTTTTTAACGTGATTCTATTCACAAACTTGTACTTCAAAAAAGAAGATTTCTACTATTTTACAAATTTCCAAAATTTGTGAGTAAGTCTAATAAATACTGTATAGGTACTAGGGTGTCACACTTTTACTTGTGTATTTTTTTAAGCTGAAGTCAAATTATGTGTGTTAATACTAGAAAAGTCACCGTGAATTTAAACAGTGAATAGAACCTTTTCCTCATAAAATATGATTTAGCGAACTATAAATATTTTTTTAAAAATCTGAAAAAATTCATGGTAACTTTTTAATAAAAACACATAATTTCCACTTAAGTTTAAAAAAATATATAACACATTTATAAGCAAAAGTGGGATACTCCACACCGAATACGTGGTTTTAGAAGTAAGCATATAGATGTCGCCATTGGTATATAATGAGCATGATCCATATTACCACCTTCCTAAACATTTTTTAAACCGTTTGGCGCATTTTTTTGACTTTGGTTTGATTTTGTCAGGGCGACGGTACGAATTTCGAAAATCGACCAGGCGGTAACCCAGCCGCAGATTATAGTGAGGGTGCTAGTCATGTTTTGGCGGTGATCCACCAAATTTTAAACCACCACAGAGCCTTAGAACAGAAATGGCACGCCAAGAAAATCAAATTACACCAACGTCTTGCCTTGAGGTTGTTCCAGGAGGATGTCAAACAAGTAAGAAAATGTTTTTTTGCATTTTTTAACATTTAAATTTATGGAAAAAAAATAAGTCACAACTTCTTCAATTAATGTCAATGTTAAAGTGTGATATATATTGGGTACTGTAGACTATAATAATAACAAAATTGGAGTGTCATTTTACTCTTGAAGGATCAAAACATCTTGGCTGTATTTTTTAATTCTTGTTACTTTGCGAATTTTTCTTACTATTTATGAGTTTTGAACTACTGTTCAAATTTGTTTTACCATTTTTAAAATTTATCCTACTGTGCCAATTTCTCCTACAATTTTTTAATTTATGCCACTGTACGAATTTGTCCTACCTTTTTTAAAATTCACCCAAAGCGAATTTTCTCCAGTTTTTTTTTTAAATTTTGAACCACTCTGAATTTGTCCTACCATTTTTAAAATTTGGATGCATCTAAGGGCAGTTTTCGATTATCCAATTTTGTTCGAATTTGGGCAGTAATACCGTACCGTATTCAGGGTGATTCACCGAAAAATGATATCGATTTGAAATTTGGGTAACAATTATAAATCAAGTGATATCAACTTTGGTTTTTTAAATGGAATCATAAATGTTATTGCATTTTTAAATTCTATGTTAAATTCTAGGAATACTAAAATTTGATTTTTTTTAGTTTTAACCTCGGTTTTAACAGTTTTTAAGATGGTAAATTATTTTTAAAAATTTTTACAAATGGATGATCTTACTATTATAGTAAATTTAAAAGGAAACGACGTACACGTTATCGATGACGTCATAATTTTGCGCACTGGTAAAAATACTAAATCTATAAAACGAAGTCTGTAATTGAATATTTCAATGCATTTTAACCAAATTAAGTTGGCATGTTGTCATGTTTAGATTTAAATTTTGCTTAATAAAATGACGCATAGGTAGAAAAAAAAATACGTTTTAGAATTTTGAAGCTGTCAGTTGTGTTTTTGAATATTTCGTTTAATTAGTGTATATTTTTTTGTTTTTCCTATATTTAAAATGCGCTATTTTGAGGCAGAACGGGATAATAATGGACCTCTGTTACCTTTAACAGCTGTTAGAGAGATAAATAAGATTATTATTAATTATATATTAGAATATTTAACAAAATATATGTTGGATATATAAAATAATAATATATATATAACAGAGACTGACTTAAGATGGCAAAATTGCTGGGTTTTATAGATGAAAATGTCTTTAAAATGACTAAAAACATACTTTTGCATCATATAGGTTATAAAACTCTGACTTTTGACATTTTCGTATTCTAAGGTCCCAAATCTAGGGACCCTATGGTATTATGCATGTAAACGCCATCTATCGCCCTGTAGTTGCACTACCTCTTTCACTTGCAATTATTTTAGCATCACATTGACAACCGTGTCCAATCAGCTGATTGATGACGTTTATTTACTATAATTATGTCTGTATTACCACTTATTGTAATGTTAATTTTTAGTGTACCTGTTAATTTAGGAGCACTCTATCGAAAGCCATTAATAGTTTTTAAAAATTTTACCATCCATCTGTCAATTTTTGAAAAAAATTAAATATCTCAAAAACTGTTGAAAAAAATGATAAAATTTTACTATTTTTAGAATTTTATGTCGAACAAAATGCAACCAAAGTTGATATCACTTCCGGTTTAACCGGAAATAATTTTAAAAAATAGTTTACATCGCCTTATAATTGCCATACAAATTTTAAATCGATTTTTTATCTGTTCTCCATAAACATCTAATGAATAAGTTAGGCACACTGAAAAAAATTCGTAGATCTGTAGATCTGTAGAAACGGCAACATTGCTAACGCGTGGCGCTCAATTTTCCCCTGGACGTAGCATAGACTTTTACACATCAAAAATATTTAAAATTGGTTGTTTTTAACAAAAAATTGCTTTATGGCTTATTAATAAAGTAATTTTTTATTAATAAAGTAATTTTTTTTTGAAAGATAGCGAGAAAAAATTCGTAAAAATTTACGCGTTTTTATAAATTTTTAAAAATTTAGTCGTACAAACCTAAAGAAAATTTCATAAGTTAACTTTTGCGAAAAAAATCATCTGTAGATGCAAAAGTTGAGATATCTGCTTTCTTTAGAAATTTCGCATAGCTCAAAAAGCAGCTTAAGTCGAATTTTCGCTGCGCGCGTCATGAAAAATATTTTTCCTTCGATTGAGGAAAACTTTTTAAAGACATTTCCTTTTTTAATTATTCTTGTCTACTTTTCGTACAAATAAAGATCTATGGATTCAAAAACTGGTCGGTTTTTTATTTTTGGTATTTTTTTAGGTGTTGGATTGGTTGTCCAATCATGGTGAAGTTTTCGTAAGGAAGAATACCGGAATAGGAAGAAATCTACAGAAAGCTAGAGTGTACCAAAAAAGCCATGAACATTTTGAAAATGTTGCCCAGGTAAGAAGCATGTTTTATAAACTTTACGACAATTTTTTTGTGAAATATTCTGTATTATTTAATTATTTAATTAAACAGAATGTAAGAAAAACGCTCCTATAAATTTATTATGGTTTAAACAACTAAAAATTAAAAAGAATATTAATTTAATTATAACCTCCAATTGCTTATTAACGTCCTAAATAATAGTTTTTGTTCTTCACTGAAATATTAAAAAAAAAGTAAACATTAATCACCAATGCATAATTACTAGTAAGTTCATAGTCTAGACTTTATAGCCATTGAAACGGCAATATTTATCATAAAGAACTCATTAGCACACAAAAAAACAAATAAAACCAACCATCGTCTTTAATATTTGAATTTGAGAGCGTCCTGGTGATAAAAATAAAGAGAAAACAGGATATTAATGTCTTTATGAAATTTCGGAAATTAAAACGGTTCGCACACAACGGAATTTATGATGGATTTCTGTTAGTTCGTTTCGGAAAGGAAGAAACTTTTGTTGTTTGATGAATAGATGGTTTCGAGTCAATATTGACTTGAAAGTAAACAGAGTTTCAATAGTTAGTTTTAGGTTGAATATAAACTAAGTAAATTTATTTTTTGTTTTAAAATTTTTAAACAAAAATTGTTTTAGATCTCTAAAAAAAAAGCTTGTGATCCTTTTCCTCTGATAATAATGATTATGGATACGTGAAATGTGGATAATTTTTGAGATAGGGATGTAGATTTTGGATATAGAGAAATATGGATAAAGTTTCTGGGATAAAATTTATAAAAAATTGATGTTAAGAAATTCGTCGTTGTTGATTTATATAATTTTTTTAATAAACAAATACTGATTTTGCCCTGCTCTACAAACGATTTTTTTTTCAAGTACTGGGAAGTCTGAACTCTTCAGAATACGGTGGATAGTAATGGCAAAGTTCTTAAAAAAAAACTGATCAATATGAAATTTTAAAAACATATGTTTGTGGAATTTGTGCAAATTTTATTTTAATTGGGTTGTGGCGGCGATTTTATATGGGTTTAAATAAAAAAAAATTGTTAAAATAAGTTAAAACGCCCATTATCGTATATGTTTCCATGACAATAAGTGGCCTTTTAAATGCACATTGACAAGTTGTGGCTTTATGGCGCTTTAGTCACGGGCTAAAGTTGTCAACAGGTTTTTAGTCAAGGGCTATAAAATATCATTATACAATTTTAATATATATATACATATACAGGTAGATTTTGTCTAAAACATGTTTTCATATTTGTAATAGAAAATTTTGTTCCATTTTTCTTCTGTTTACGATTCTCCAATAATTTTTGAATAAAATACTTGGTTTTATTTTTTAAATTTATCTATTTTTTAAATTTTAATTAAAGTAGGTGCTCAAAATGGTTGCCAAATTTCATTATTTCCACCTGTGACTGTTGCTCGACGAACTATTTTTTTCAATTCAACACTCCTGTTTGTAGTAAACTGCTTGACTGCACGGTGAAATGAAGTACGTGATCGATTTTTTCGGAAAACTCTGAGCGTAGATATTAACAGCATCATCAAGATTCCTGCCTTCTTCTCCATAAATCAAAATCATTTCTATTTTTTCTTCCACTGTTAAAAAATCCATTATGGAAAACTGCTTAAAGAAATGAGGTCTTTTTGTTTGCAAATTAATCTTCGAACTAGATTGATTAAATAATGCTAAACTTTGTATAAATAGTTTCTTTATACCTCAATAATAATTATTATTTATAACTAAATACCATTTTTTTTATACCTCCAATTAGGATTAAATTAATTAATTGACAAAATAATAAAATAGTACAATAATCCTTTAAATTAAAGGATTTAATGCTGGCAAGTAAAAAGTGACCATGTTCGCAATTGATAATTATCACTAAATGAAATAATGTATAAAACTTAAACCAAAGGAAACTTAAATATTAGTTAAAAAATCGTGGGTACTTAAATCAGATTTAATTTAATAAGATAATTATTACCAAAAAAAGTGATATTTTTATAGAAAAATTATTGCAGAATCGTATAAGAAGAAAAATCGAACAAAATTGATTTTTTTTCATTACAGCGCCATCTATTACAAATATGAAAAAATGTTTTAGACAAAATCTACCTATTTTTAGTCGAATGATCCGAATTAAAAATAGGGTGTTCCATTGGACATTTTAAAGTTACCCCCTGTTCCCCCTTTAAGGAGAATAGTATGAGGACCAATTTTAGTACTGATTGATTTCCCTCCTCGAATCATTTAATTTTTATTTTAAACATGTTTTCGTAAAATGCAAACTAACTGAGATATTTCAAAGTTTCAAGTTAAATGACTTACCCTGTATATATATATATATATATATATATATATATATATATATATTATATATATTCGAAACAATAATAAATACAAAAATTTTTGATCAAATAAAAAATATGTTGTCCCCTTTTCAACATGGTTTTATTACAAAACGATCTACCACAAGTAACTTGGTTTCATTTACACAACATGCTAGTCAAACGATTGATAGCAATGGCCAATTGGATGTTATCTATACCGATTTTCAAAAGGCTTTTGATCAAATAGACCATTTTATTTTATTAAATAAATTAAGGCGAATGGGTTTTGATGATATGCTTATTAAACTTTTTAAATCATACCTTACTAATAGGCAACAATATGTCATTGTTAATGGTTACTGTTCCGAGTGGTTTGCCTCTTGTTCAGGGGTGCCGCAAGGATCTAATTTAGGACCCATTCTTTTTGTTATTTTTATTAATGACTTGCCATTAAATTTAAGTTGCTCTAAGCTTTTATATGCGGATGATTTAAAGATTTTTAAAGGTATACAAAACTTAAATGACTGCTTTGAACTTCAAAATGATTTAAATACTTTAAACCAGTGGTGTCTTAGTAATCGTTTAAAGTTAAATATATCTAAATGTAAGATTATGCGCTATACCAGGAAACGATATCCAATTATTTTTGAATATAGCATTAATGATATTCCCTTGGATACAGTTTCTCTAATGAAAGACTTGGGTGTTATTTTTGATCAACAGTTAAGCTTTGTAACTCACATTAACACAAATATAAAATCTGCAACAATGACCCTTGGATTTATTTTTAGAAATACCAAAGGTTTTTCTTCTCAGTCCGTTAAATTACTATATTATTCGTTAGTGCGCAGCAAACTTAAGTATGCCAGCGTGGTTTGGTCTCCAATATATGCCTATCACATAACAAACCTTGAGAATGTACAGCGTAAATTCCTAAAAATTCTTAACTTTAGAATATTCAATTTTTATCCACCACAGGGTTCCGATCATTTAGTTCTGTTAGAGACTTTTAATGTATTGTCTTTGGAATTGAGAAGAAAAATTATTTCAATAACTTTTTTGTATAAACTTCTTCATGATCAGATCGATTGCATGGATTTGTTGGGTCAATTGTGCTTTAATATTCCTCGTTGTAATAGCCGACAATGTATAACGTTTAGATGTCCCTTTGCTCGTACAAACACACTTAAAAAATCTCCTTTATATGTTATGTGCAATATATTCAATTTTATTTCTACTTCCTGTGATATAAATTTTTCTTCCTTAAGCTTTATAAAAAATTGTTTATCCTAGTGTTTTATATTGTTAATTGTAAAAATTGTTAACTATTTACATTTTTAATTATTTATATATTGTTTTTAACTTATTTGTATTATTTATTTATAAGCTTGTATTTGTAAGTAAACACTATTATATGAATGTCCATTTATGGTATGTACTGTTGGGCAATAAATACCTATTATTATTATTATTATTATTATATATATATATATATATATATATATATATATATATATATTAATAATCTTGATCCTGAAGTTGATTGGATCAGTGGCGGCAAATATATAATGATTTAACCTACAGGTGTAGCACAAACAGCGCGTACTTGATTAGATTTAATTTCCTGGGATATTTGTTCAAAAGTATAGTTTAAATTTAAAAAAATATTTAGAATAAAGTTAAATACTTTTGAAATTTTATAAAGATGCAATTAATAGTTTAGAAAATCTTAAACGTTCAGACTTTTCAGTAGGTACTATGATCCACACATTAAAGTCCCACCATCTGACTGGTACAAATAATTAAGGTTAATTTTCTGTCTATTGTGTATATTTTCTAAAAATAATAGAATGTATTTTGTGTAAAAAGGTCTTAATTTAAAACACAGAAAATATGGAAAAATATGGATTATTTTTCGAAAATAAAACGAAACTAGCTTGACACTTACAAAAAATTAACCTTAACACATCAAATGATAATTATAGAGATAAATGATAATTTGAAACCCAAATATTTAAAACCACATTAATGAAACAACAATGGTTCTTATTATAAATAGTTTACTACATAATGATTTTATAATCAAACGTTGCAGAAATTTAGGAAATGTCTACTCACATACAGAGAGACCTTCCCTTTTAAAAATCAATTTGCATATAATTTGTCCCGTATAATGGCGGCAATCCAATCGGATATTATGCATTCCTTTGAGTGTTAAAACCACCCTATACAATTCCACCCTACCAGATGCGAGTGCACTGTGTAATCCACCCATCCACTTCTACACAATGCGACCCCGCTTTTCCAATTTTTTCTTGTTTATAGAGGATTTTACGCAGTCTCGAAACAAGCTCTGTAGGCCTGCGGTTTGCTGATAACTTCATGTCGATTTGATTTGCATTTTTTTCATTTTATTTTCACAAACGCAATGCCCAGTTGGGGTGGGAAATTATGTTGTTATTGGGTTTATTTTTATACAATTTGAATTTCAACTTCCAGAGTATTTCTATCACCCACTTTTATTTTTATCACAATATAATATTATCTCACAAAAAATATACGACCATGTCATATCATAATATACCAACAAATCTTGTAATAAGGGAAAATATAATAGAATAAAAAAATGACAGATTTTAATCAAAATTCTTCCACCTTATTACATTTTTTCTTGAAAAAAAAATACAAAGAAAACGACAAAACTTATCTATTGTTGTTTCCCTTTCATTAAAAATATCGAACCGTCAGATATCGTTTCATGTTCGAAATGACAGCAATTGTTTTTTAAAGAGCACTTTTAATACAAGCTCTCGCAAAACAAACGAGCATAAATGTCAACGTTATGTCTGCGGTTTTACATTTTCTTTCGTTCTCTGTGTAAGAAACTAATCCTGCTTTAGTGGTGTAAATGTTGCTTTAATTTTAGCGTTATATTCCGTATGCTATTCAGTATTTGATGAGTGCAGTCAGCAAATATTATGTCATAAATCTGCGTATTGTTAGCGTACTGAAATGGCGAAGCTGCACAGAGCTGATATATAATTTTGCCAGAATTTTGCCAATGTATACATTATGTAGGTATATTTTTATTTGAATAGCTACTAAGTCGGTTAAATTGGAGAAAAGTTTCGTAATTACAAGTCTTTTCAAAATTTGAAGAAAAAAATCTGTGGTTCTCAACTAATTTAAAAAATATAAAAAATCTGTCAAATCAAAAAATCGTTATTACTTCGTTATTACTGAAATTAAAAAAAAGAAAACAAACACATTTATCTACATTTTTATCCCATTTGTGATTTTTTTCGCCTACTAAATTTTGTTTTTCCTTTGGCCGCCATATTATAGTTGTATATGGTTATACAGAAAAAAATAAGGAATCCAGCAATGTATCAATGGCGGCCATTATATATATATTTTTTTAATTAAAAACAAATGATGGGGATGGTAAAGAAATCGGATAAAAATGTATTTTTATACTCCCACCTTTAAAACGCCATTTATCGTACATGTTTCCATGACACTAAGTGACCTTTTAAATACACATTGACAAGTTGTGGCTTTATGGCGCTTTAGTCACGGGCTGAAGTTAGTTTTAAGTTAGTTGACAGTTGTCAAATGTCATACAATCGTTAAAATAAAGTGCCTTTCTTGTAAAATAATACTAAATGTGAAAATTATTTTATTATCTCAATACAAAAATACAAAAATATTAAATAGTTTCTCAACGCCAATATTTGAAAAGTTTATATGAACATTGTACTGACCTTTTAATTTCGCCGGCAGTAAACTATAACTTAAATTCGGGCACGGACTCTACTGTAAAGTCCTCATAAAACATTTTCTTTACTTGTGAAAAACTGTCAATTTTCAAGAAATACATTTCGATTTATAACCTTTATAATCTGTGTTTATAAAATGTAAAAATGTGACATTTGACGGTGACACGCAGATTCCCCTATTGTTTCATAGATGGCGCTCTATAAATTTTTTGATTTAAATCATTTTAAGATAATAATAAGTATTTGTCGTAGAAAAAGTATAGTATGCACCTCGTTTATAAACTTTTCTATACACTTATTAATTTAAGCACTCACTCGCTCGTGCCTAAATTAAATTCGTGTATAAAATGGCGTTTATCAAACTTGATAGGTACATAATTTTCAAAGCGAAGATTATTATCCGCTTGAAATACTTTTCTTCTGGGCCGTAAAGCAACCTATATTTACCTACTTTTTTTATATGATTTTACTCATCCAAGCACCACCAAAGCCAAATTAATTGCATTTTTAACTACGAATTTCGACAACTCAACTTGACAACTGCACAATGTAACCTACAATAATTTATACATAACCACAATTAGATTTATAACTAGCTTAGTTTGTTTTAATCAATGCGACCAACTTAGCAACTGTATTTACCAACCAAAACCCTAAATTTGCAACGTTGCCGCAGTCCAGATAAAAAAAAGAACTTTAGGAACAACAAATAAGTTTTTGGTTTTGTCATGTTTTCAGTTTCCTTTAAATATTTAGAGAACCGCCGTTTTTCACAATTTTTAAATTTTATTTTAATAAGCTTTTCAAATAAAAAAATACCCATATCTGTACCCCAGAGCCAAATTTAAAATCACGTTACAAATTTTTTGCCTACAATTTTCGACTCTTTCCATTGGTAAACGGGCTTACTTACTTTTGTTGATTTAGTAAAAACGCAATAAGCCAGTACCTACGTCATTCTTTTTACCATTGGAAAAACGTAAGCACAAATTTGTTTTTATTTGGTTTCTACAAAAATATTTTTTTTAAAATGAGTTCTGAAAATCTCGTTAAAAAAATATTTATGCCATTATAAAAAAATCCGAAATTATAAGCAAAAAACGTAGTAAAATATGTAGCCCTTACATATAATTTTATATGTTATGAAAAATGTAATATACTTTATAAAAATCCGAACCATTTGTAAACCCTAATTAAAATTCATTAATCAAAACATATCAAAATTTGCCATAGCACAGCATAATTTAATCCCTGAGCGTTGTAACGTTACAAATGGCTTTAATCAGAATTAAATCCATCATACGTGAAAACCCGCATCAAGTTTGGGAACAGGCCCGTTAATGTAATATCACCCAAATAACCCCCATATTGGGTATTGGTATTAGATGGGACCAAAATTTGTTTTGGAAAGTCAATTAGTTTTAGGATAATTAAGGTATAAAATGTATACTATGAATACAAAATAATAATTGGGTATTGTTTTATTAAAACTGTTTAGTTGGTTAATTATTCATTAACAATTAATTTCCGGGACACCCTATACAATATTGGCATATCTTACATTTAAAAAGCCAATTATATAATATCATTATATTGTTAATCAATGGGTTTTGTATAAAATATTGCAATATAGGAAATTATAAATCTAACGGAATAATTTGCTAATAAGAAATTTAATTTGTTGATGTTACTTGTCTAATTTATGTCTTGTTTATTAATTACATGCCCTCAACTATGACATTACGTATAAGGAAATGTAATTTATATTGTACACTATACAGGGTGTTTCAGAATAAGATGCTGAACCTTAAAATTATCTGGAGAATCGTATTCCAAGATCTAGAATAATTCTAGAATTATTCAATAAACCCCCACACAAATTATGAGGATTTTTCCCGAGTAGACCCTGTTTATAGCAACTTTTTCTTTTAGTTTTATTTGTAGAATCACCCCAAGAAATACATTATATTATTTATTTCCGGATACCCTGTATATTATTATTTTTTGTTTGTAATACAATATACACTCGATATTTTACAATGAAAAATGGCTTTTCATTTTAATCTTCAGACTTTTAATCGTTATAGATACGCGGTACAAAGGCAATGGCCAGACTGCAAAAAAACTCAAGAAAGCTAATCTCATTCACTTAAATAAATGCAATCCCTCTTCCGTAGATAAGGAAAAGAAGTAAAAAGGACATTTATTAGTGAAATGACCAGAAGTCCTTTCCCAAGGAAGTAAATATTGATTCCAAATAATACATCCTTAAACGATTTATGTAAGGTACTAAAGTTCATTTTTTTTATCTGGACTGCGGCAACGTTGCAAATTTAGGGTTTTGGTTGGTAAATACAGTTGTCAAGTTGGTCGCATTGATTAAAACAAACTAAGCTAGTTATAAATCTAATTGTGGTTATGTATAAATTATTGTAGGTTACATTGTGCAAATTCGTAGTTAAAAATGCAATTAATTTGGCTTTGGTGGTGCTTGGATGAGTAAAATCATATAAAAAAGTAGTTAAATATAGGTTGCTTTACGGCCCAGAAGAGAAAGTATTCCTAGCGGATAATAATCTTTGCTTTGAAAAGAATTTATATAAAAGAAATTAAAATTTTTTGTGAACGTAAATTTTGTCCAATGGTCAATAATGTGAAAATAATGTGTGATGTAATATTTATAAAACTAAATTCGTTACTTTTTTACTTCAAAAATGTCCATAAGGCGATTTACTTTTTCTTCCATTGTGGCATTTGGCATAATTTCATCAAAATGAAGTTTTGCCCTCAAATGGGCTTTTACATTCGAATTCGTTGCGATTATTATTGACATAATTATCTTTTATTTATAATTGACAAGTAAATTATCAATAATAAATATTATTGTCAATTTGACAGTGTTAAAGTATTTAATTCAATTCTTTAGCAGAAGTACCATTTTTAAATACTAAAAATACTAAGTCAAACTGGCATAAGCCACCAACCTAACAAAAAAACAAGAGTCCAGATAAAAAAAATGAACTGTACATTTTTTTTATTTAAAGAGCTAAAAGAGGTTAATTTAGAGATGTTACGTTTGGGTAGTTTTTGTTTTGAAATATTTGAAATATATTGAGAACCGCTGTTTTTTTTTCATTTTTAAATTTAATTTTAATAGGCTTGTAATACGCAACTTTTCCCTGATATACCGACCTACTCGTTGCAAAAAAAACTCTTTAATATAATCGTGATTGCTTTGCTGAGCAAAAAAAGTATTTTCAATTGTTAACTAATGCAATTATAAGAAATGTCTGGTGTTGCTTTGTTACACATTGCCATGCTCAATTAACGAAGAAAACAAATAACTATTCGTTACATGTAGTGCCTGCTTTCGAATATTCGCAACCGAAACCGTTTTCTATCGTAAAGAAAAGTGAAATATTGCTATTGAGTTTTTACAATTAAAAAGTCAATAATAACATGACATTCCATTAAAAATGTAAATTACACATAAATACACAATTTTTTTACTCCACATTAAATAAATAACTAAACTTGAGTCACCCATTAATTCCCTAATGTACATATTCGACCGATATCTAGGTGTCCAAATTTAAACCCAGCATCCATTATGGC